ATCGAATGCTTTGAAATCTTGAAGATGTTTTAAAATTATCATAAGTATGGTAAATTTTTTACCAAAATGTATTTGGTCGTCCCCCCTAAAAAAATTATGACGACACCACAAAATTTTGCTGAAAAAATCCTATCTAAAATGTACAAAATATGATGAGTCTCTTCTTGTGATTTATCATTCCATTCAAATTTTTTCGATTTGCATATACAGGGTGACTGAAAAAAATTAATGAATGCGTCAATTTATTTTATTGATTTAATCAGGAATTACAGAACCGAATGCTGTGAAATCTTGGAGATGTTTTAAAATTATCATAAGCATGGTAAATTTTTTATCAAAATTTATTTGCTCATCCCCCCTAAAAAAATTGATGACGTCACCCTAAAATTTGGTGAATAAATCCTATTTAAAATGTTAAAAATATGATGAGTCTGTACTTGTGATTTATCATTCCATTCATATTTTTTGGATTTGCATATAAAGGTGACTCAAAAAAATTAATGAATCCATGACTTTATTTTATTGGTTTAATCAGGAATTACAGAACCGAATGCTTTGAAATCTTGGAGATGTTTTAAAGTTATTATAAGCATGGTAAATTTTTTATCAAAATGTATTTGTTCATCCCCCAAAAAAATTAATGAATGCGCAAAATTTATTTTATTGATTTACTCAGGAACTACAAAATCGAATGCTTTGAAATCTTGAAGATGTTTTAAAATTATCATAAGTATGGTAAATTTTTTACCAAAATGTATTTGGTCGTCCCCCCTAAAAAAATTATGACGACACCCCAAAATTTTGCTGAATAAATCCTATCTAAAATGTAGAAAATATGATGAGTCTGTAGTTGTGATTTATCATTCCATTCATATTTTTTAGATTTGCTTAAGAGGTGGCTCAAAAAAATTAATGAAGTCAATTTATTTTATTGATTAAATTAAAGGCAACACTTATTATTAGTATTACATTGGACCAACCCAATTTGGTAGACACAAAATTTTGTAAAGTAAAAACTCGGTTGAAACATAAGGGTAGCACGCTTATTCATATTTACTTTAACATTACAGACGTGCATTTGTTTTGTGCGCTGACTGGGTTCCGCGAATGTAGTATAGACATGTTTATAATCAACCAATTCTGAATTGCACCGTCAAAAGTTAAAATAAAACTCAATGTTTTATATAATAAGCGGAAGTCGAAGCAATAAAAATCTCTAGACGACCATCGGTTTTGTTTACAGTTTCTCTGTTTGACTTTCACGTATGCTATGTTACGCTTGTCGTCTTAAATTAAGAGTGCTTATACATAAACGATTTTCAGTTGCCTCTCCTAGTACACGCCGGCGCCGTATACGTGAGTAAATTGTTTCGTTATTTTATTGATTATTACAAATCAATATTCAAAACGACCCAATTCATTTTTCCGAAAATTTGGGAATACAATAATCTTATTCTTAGTATTACACTACATCTATCCCTACTGATATACGTGTCCTTGCAAAAATGTTGATGACGTCATCGCAATTTTTTTTTAAATTCCCACTACAAAAATGTAATGAGAAAAAAAAACAATAGGCATGCAGTCGTCAAGTTTCCGACAGCGAGAGAAGTACTGTCTAAACTCTTTAGACCAATTTTTTAAGGAATTTTTCAAATCTGAAAAAAGACATTCTTGAAAAAATTGGTCTAAGATTATTTACACAGAATTTCTCTACGGTTATTAATCTATTCTCATTTTTAAATCTGCGCATGGTGGTTTTTGTTTATTCTTTTTTTTTTGAAAAAAAAAAAAACTGTTCCAAGACAACCATGTGTCTTAGAACCTAAAAATGCATTTACTCTGAAACGTTGTTACATATTAAAACTTTGTAAACCTCCTGTAAATTGTGAAATTTAATATTAAAGAAGTTAAAAAATAAACACCAATCAAAACATAAAGACAAGAAAAAGTTCTTCACAAAATAAGAACACAAAAAAGTCTAATAAATTAAATGACACCGAACCAATTACCACGATGATCGAGGAAACTAAAAAAGCTTTAATAAACAATTAACTGTCTAGTTGTAACACAACACTGAAATATTTACAGTACAGTCCACAACACCTGTATTGATCTTTAAACGAAATAAAATACATCATGACCGACTTCGCAAGCATTTCTCCGCTTCTAAAACTCAACTACCATGTTCTACGTTGTTTCGGCTTCCTCCACTTTCACCTGGAAGACATTGTCGAACCTCGTTCTTCGCTTCGTCTCAACAGAGCAATACAAATACTTCACATTTTGCTCATAATTTTGCCATCGATTTACTTGTTTAAATGTTTTCCGCAATTTTTTGCAGCTTTTTTGATCACAAAATTTCTTAGTTTCTTCAGAGGATTTTTTTTAATTTTGACAGGGTGTAGCAACATCATTTGGAGTAAAATGTATCGCAAAAAAATTTACAACGTGTTTAAAACTGTAGGAGCTTTAGAAAAAAATGTCCAAGATTTACAAATAACTTTAGATTATGGAAATTCAGTGTAGGTGAAATTCTATTGTTATTGTTTTGTGGTATGTTGCATCTGATTTATACTACCTCAACAAAATTTACCCTTTTCCAAGTATCGGTAACTTTCACAATGTATTTCGTTATGATGACCATAGAACTAACATTGTCATGCCAATTTCTGACTGTCAAATAAAATAGCGTTGCTTTAATGTTTTCGGCTATTCTTAATTCAAAACTGAAAGGTTGTTTATTCGAAAATTTGTAACATCTTAGAACAATGTAATCATTTAAACACTATTTTAATTCTAATAGCAATTTCTACACAGTGGGTGACCACGACTCTAAACTTATATGGACTCATTATTAATGCTTTTATGAATGGAAAACAGACAAATTTTCCTGTATTTGCCGGCATAGTTTTGTTTTGCTATAAATTGGGAATTATGATTTTTGTTGCGGAGAAAACAAAGTCTTCGGTAGGTTTGCTTCACTGAGTTTAACTTCAAGAATGATATTCTTCTTTTCGTTTTTAAAACGCAGGATACCTTGAATAGATTAAGAATTGAGAAGAAAGAAGAAATGTTCCGGAATGAGGTAACTCGCAGAGTTTTTTTTTCCACACTGAGTAACACATTTTAGATTAGTATGTTTCTGGTAAAGTCGCTACATTATGAAGTTAGAATTTCCGCCGGTGGAATTTGTGACTTAAACTATAATTTGGCACTAAGGGTAGACTTACCTTTCTAGAAATTTAAACTTAATTAAGTACTTGATCACTATTTTTATTTTCAGATTTTTCTTTCTGTGACAACATACTTAGTCATCTTAATTCAAACCGATCCTAATGATTTCATATTCAGTCTAATAATTTTTTATTAATATATTGTAAAAACAAAAACAAGTTCAGAAATTTTATTTTGCTTCAATGTTTTAATTCGAGTAAATTCTAATAGCAATTTCTACACGGTTCGTGACCACGACTCTAAACTTATATGGACTCATTATTATTAATGCTTTTATGAATCGAAAACAGACAAATTTTCCTGTATTTGCTGGCATAGTTTTGTTTTGCTATAAATTAGGAATTCTGATTTTCGTCGCGGAGAAAATAAAGTCTTCGGTAGGTTTGTTTCACTGAGTTTAACTTCAAGAATGATATTCTTTTTTCAGGTTATTAAAACGAGGGATACCTTGAATAGATTAACAATTGAGAAGAAAGAAGAAATGTTCCGAAATGAGGTAAATAGCAGAATTTTTTTTTCCACACTGAGTATAATATTTTAGATTAGTACCTATGTTTCTGGTAAAGTCGCTACATTATGAAGTTAGAATTTCCGCCGGTGGAATTTTTGACTTAAACTATAATTTGGCACTAAGGGTACACTTACCTTTCTAGAAATTTAAACTTAGTTACTTGATCACTATTTTATTTTCAGATTTTTCTTTCTGTGACAACATACAGTCTAATAATTTTTTATTAATATATTGTAAAAACAAAAACAAGTTCAGAAATTTTATTTTACTTCTATGTTTTAATTCGAGCGGATTTTTTTCAAGAATTGAGACAGATGATGGCTCATAATTACAGATGTCCAACTACTACACAACAAAAAATTAATTTTAGTATTATTTTCGAAATAGTTGCAAATTTGCATTTCGAAAAGTTGGAAATTCATTGAAATTGCTAGTTGCTATAATGTAGAGATACTCATACACAAAAATAAATTTTATAAATATTAAATATTATTATTATTAAAGTAATATTTTGTGTGTTCTCAACACTCTTCCCAATAGTATTACATTTATTTTTACTTTCCGCAGATTTGAGACTCAAGTTTCACTCTTTTTTTGAAGTAAAATGCAATATTATGAGTCCCAAAGGTTTAACAGCTGCATTTGTGTTATTTGGAACGTTCAGCGTGCCATTTATTCAAAAAATTTTAAGACCAGTTACAGAAAATATTAAAAAAAATTAATATATTAATATATGGGTTTAAAATGATTGAGAAAGTATTTTTGAAAGCTTTAAAATAATGTATGTATACTTAGTTTAAAATATTATAACATGAACAAATTTATGGAAACTGCGTATAATACTATAAATTAGCAAAAAATGCTCATCAAATGTGTAGAAAACGTCTTGAGAAATTTTATACATGCTTTTACAAAATTCAAAAATTTTTTGGACTCTTATTTAGAAAATATGTTTGAATATGCGAAGAAAAAACAGTTTAAACTGTTCAAATTGAAAGAAAAATAAGATCCACAAGTACTCACTTTTGGAGCTTAAAACACACTACCATCAGTAGAAAATTGTCGATTTAAAAAAAATTTCAAATAAAAATTCAACGACATCTTTACGATATGACTTTCCATGTTCACACCTCGCACGTTCTTGGAGTTCTAATTCTTGACGACACATTTGCTGCACGAACCCCACTCTTTTTCTTTCATGTAGAGAACCCTTTTAGGGAATAAACATTTAACAACCAATCACATTCGTCCGTGTTCATATTTAAAGCCCACTGGGAGACTTAAAAAATTCATAGGTGAAATTACATTTCACAAAAACCAGTGCCAGTCACAGTTTTACTTTTCGTAAGTGTTTTCAATTTACTATAATTAGTTAGCGGATGTCTTTCAACGTTTCTTAAGCAATTACTATTATTTTAATATTAGTAAAATTTGTTTGTTCTTTACACTTTTATAAATATTGTATGTAGTGAAAAAAACTGAAACAGCTAGTTTCAAATTTGAGTAAATCGTTTGCTTAGGAACAAAATCGAATAGGAAATTTAATAATATTTGGTACGAAAAATACGACGGTTTGCCGGAAGTGTAGAATTAATAAATTACCATTTGTTACCAATGTGTCTTATTTGCAAATGTTAGCAAGAAAGTGTAGTGGAAAAATTGATTTTTCGGTTTAAAAAATTTGTCAAATGGTTTAGCATTGCACACCGACGGAGCATATCATATTTCTTCAAATTTCAAAAATTCTTCATGTAAGTTAGTTCTTACGAGGAATAAAAGACCAAATACTGCTATGACTTTGGCTAATGCGAGCAAAACTGAAATAGAAAATTTTAATTTTAAAGTTTGGGAAAATCGGCAAAGCTAAAAGTTTGATCGATATTACAATAATGTACTAAAATGTAATGTTACTAAAAAGTATGAAAGTAGTTGAATATCTTGGGAACGGTTAGTTGGGTCTTCTCAAATTTGGGCTCCACTTAAAAATACTCAAGCTCTACTTTTTGAAATTTTTTTAAACTTTACGCTTCATTTGTTTTCAAGATACAAGGCTAGCTAATTTTTTTTAAATAGCACTAGTAGTCAAGTGGTCAATTTTTGAATAGAAACTTTTTTTCTGAATTCAGAACCGGAATACAGGCATACAATTTTTTAACTGAAACGGCAAATAAAATGATAAATTATTTATTATAAATACATTCTAAAATGGAAAATTGTAGTCAGCTTTGTGTTCTGAAAAGCAAATTTCTAACGGTTTCAAAAATATTGCGCAGATTTAACGAAACTGATAATATTAGAGATCGTCAAAGAACCGAAAGACCAAAAAATGTTACCAATGATGAGAACTTTTATAACATCATGTTAGGTGTAACTGAAAATCCAAAAACTTCAGTGCAGCAATTGTCATTAAACCACAATATGTGTAGAAGCTCAGTTCAAAAAATACTCAAACGGGAAAAATATCATCCAAGTAAAATTCATTTACCACAAGAATTGAGTAAGGATGAGTTGCACCGCAGAATCGAATTTTGCGAAATAATGGGAGACGGACTAAATCAGGATGGTAAATTCATAAACCAATTATTACTGTCTGATACGCCGGCACCTTTATTTCAGTTTATGTACCTTCAGTTCTATCATTTTTACAATGATTGGAAACTAGTATAATTTTTGAATAATGTGTTACATTTCTGAATTCCGAAAAAAGACACTATTTAAATACTAGATATTTAAAAATATTTGAAAAAATTGGTCGAAAGTCGGTTCGACAGAACTTCCCTTGCACCTAAAGTACAATGAAACATATCCAGCATTTTTGAGTTGAGTTTTTTCTAAAAATAACAGTATTGTATTCCTAAAATTTTCGGGGAAAATGGAGTGAGCCGATCCTGATTTAATAAATAAAACAAATTGATTCATTCATTAATTTTTTTGAGCCACCTGTCTAAGCAAATCTAAAAAATCTGAATCCGGTGATAAATCACAAGTAAAAACTCATGACACTTTGCACATTTTGGGTAGAATTTATTCACCAAAATTTTGAGATGACGTCATCAATTTTTTGGGGGGAATAAACAGATATATTTTAATTAACAATTTACCATGCTTATAATAACTGTAAGACGTCTGCAGGATTTCAAAGTATTCAGTTTTCCAATTCTTCATTTATTCAATAAAATAAATTTACGCTTTCATTAATTTTTTTGAATTGCCAAGTATAAGCAAAACAAAAAAATATGAATGGAATGATAAATCACAAGTATAGAGTCATTATATTTTGGACATTTTAGATAAACATTATTCGGTAAAATTTTGAACTGACGTCATGAGTTTTTTGGAGGGAATAAGCAAATATATTTTGATTAAAAATGTATTATGTTTATCATAACTTTAAAACATCTACAAGATTTCAAAGCATTCGGTTTTGCAGATTCAAAATTAAATTGCAAAATATTGTTTTACAATTTTGATTTTTTTCGAAAAATCTGGACGTTTGGGGTAAAAACTTGACACGGAGTCATAAACTGCTAGGACTATGTTATTTTATACAATTTAAAACCTATTTACTATGTACAATTTTGAAGTGAGTCATCACACTATTGGTGAGGATGATTAGACAAATTTTAGTTACTGTTTTACCATATCTATGATATTCCTAATATAAATACAAAATTTGACAAGAATCGGCCCAGACAGGCAGTTGGAAACGGGGACCTATTTGTTCGTAGTCTAGGGGTCGAGAAAACATAAAAGTAGAGAGTAGGCCGACGGACTCGATTACAATACTTCCTTCGCTTACGCTTTGGAAGTAAAAATTGCAGAAAATAAAACTTGAGTATTTCTAGAGACAACCCAAATTTCAAAAAGATTCAACAAACCGTTCTCTTCAACTGCTTCCATATTTTTTAGCCACCTGTATATTACAGTATTGCTTTTTACTGTCAAGTACGTTTTTTTATTAAAAGTCCACTATCGTCGCAATTTCTTCCAATAACATTAGGAACAACAAGGCCACGAATTTTAGTGGAAAACGAAAATAAAGTTAGGTTAAGTTATTTGTTTTGTGCTATTATTTTTAACTGGAAAGTGGAAAATTTCTGCCTCAATGGTGACAGATTAGGATAACACAAATTTAGAGCTGTTGCTGTTAACATCACTTAGCAGTCACAATGATAAAATATGTGGAACTCATTGTTTTTCTAAATACAAAACTAAACCCAAAGTGTTGAGAGTCCAATTTGTCCGAAGAATATCCGTGGTCTAAAGAAAAAAAACTGAATACAATCGCTTCCCTCGGCTTTCCAATATTTTAAGGTTGCATGTATTAATATTTATTTGTTTGTGAAATCCAAAGTTAACGTAGTGGTACTCAAGAACTCTTTTTTTTTTCAAGTGGATTTAATCCGGATCGAATCCGCTTTTCCAGCTTTATAATATCGGAATCCTTGGTTTTTACAAATTTTATAATACAGAATCCAGATACTAAATTAACAAGTTAACATTTTCACTTACATTTGTAGCAATAAAAAGGACCTATTCACGGGGTGTATTTGTTGCTGATATAGTTAATTTTTTAGGCAAGGTGTGAAAAAAATCACTTTGAGGAGACTTTTGCCTACAACATCGTCTAATCCAACATAGTTATACTTACTTTGCAAATACTTTCTGTTCTTTGAACTGTCGCAAATAAATAGTTTAAAGAAATTGTTTGGTAATTTGAGTTTCCCACTTTTTTAGAATATTTTGCTACTTTATTATGTTCTAAAATCTTTAATTTTTGAATGCACTTTTCCTTTAAATCTGGGATACACTAACTACTTATTATGGATGGAAACTAATTATTAAAATAAAATAAATAAAATAAAAACACAATACGTTCTCGATTTTGACAAAATTTAAGATCTGTACATCGTATTAAATATATGTAAGTTCAATAATGAAAGTTAATGTAATACGTTTGTATGTTACTTTTTAAGTAAGTACAGTTGCGGCCCCCCAAATGTGCACGATTTCTCGTTGTCATGGAATTTTTTGAATTTTTAAATTAATGTAAGTCTGGCTATTACCAGTGGCACAGTATTTTTGAATAAACAAAATGTCAAATTTGACTAATTTTGTTATTCGAGCGCCCATGATTTGAAGATACATTTACAATAGAGAAAATTATCGTGCACTTTTGGGGGGTCGCAACTGTACATGATAGTACATAATATTATAATTTTTTTATTTTGTTATAGGTATTTGCAGATTGGTGTCTTGGCGAAAAATAGAAAAAATGTCAAGAGGTCCACCCGATTGTCGACAGTGTCTAGTAGACGAAAATTGTCGGCCCAATTTTTTGTTGTGGGTACAAACGAAATATCCGGCTAACTCCGAGAACTTTACTACTAAAATTAAAATGTTTGAGAGGTTTACTAACATGGACGATTTTAATGCACTGAGTGTGACGGAGAAACAGCCATTCCTAAAGATAGTTATTGACTTGAGAAAACTACATCAAGAATATTTTTCTGGAAAGTAAAAATAAAAAGGCTTAATATCTCAGCACATTTCAACTTATTCCACCTTACTTCTCTTATCCATATCCGTATCACGCATAAATAATCTATCGTCCATATTAGAAGCAAAGATAAAATTACTGCTGATTAGATAAGTATTTTTTCAGTATTTAAGATTAACTTGTAACTATTGCAATCAATGTTGCAACAGAAACAAAATTGTTTCATATGAATCAAAAGTTTATTAAATGTTACTGTTTTTACGAAAGCTTAACTGAACTTTAGATAAGTAAGTACCTTTAAATTATTAATTAATTAATTTAAAAAATCTTGTACCTGCACTTAAAGGGCAAATATCAATTAAATAATGATATATTGTTACACTAGGAACTTAAATTAAAAAAAAAAGTTCAATGTTTTTAAAAGTCACTGTCTCAATCACTATTAAAAAATCTGTTTTCTTATACGACAATTTCGACATAAAGCATTTTCCAATAGTTCTTTAGCACAAAAGAATGCTGTTTGTGTTTTTCGCAATACAGAACAGTTTCCGTAAATTTCTTGACATCTGCGTCTTTTACAGATCTCAGCGGTTCTAATAATTTTCTCAAAATATCATGACAGACGAATTAAAACAGCTACATACTTACTTAACAACTAAACACGAATACAAAGATGATCTCGAAACCCTCCAAAACCAAGCTAGTAATTCTGATTTAATTAATTGGTATCTGTACATATGTTACGAAGAAAATTACACAACTGATGCAGAGTGGTTAATTCAAAATAAAATACGCATTACCGAAGCAATTGACGATGATTTGACACCTTTAGAAAACTCCTGCGACCTACAGTTCGTGAAAACGATCAAGCCGTTAATAACAAAATTGGACCAAGAAACTTCAGGCAAGATAGAAGATAAAAAAAAAATTCTATGTTCATCGCTAGGCATCACAATAAAACGTTTAGCTGACGGTAAAGTATCTAACGAAGATATACTATGTTATAAATACGTATTAGAAGCTGTAAAAAATACGAAAGATTTGGACACTGAACAATATGAAGATGGTTATAAATTTACACCTTTGTCTTACGCCATCTACTATAATCACCCGGATATTGTAGTGGACCTTCTTGAAACAGTTTGTTTGATGAATTGCCATACCAGTGTTAGTCCTATCGACAAAATAGATCCAAAGGCATTAGGAAAACACCTAGATAGGTACATAACTACAGAAATAAATGTAGGTACGTACAAAAATCCGGGAATAAATATCAAATTTAACTTTGAAACATTACTATGTCGAGAAAGACACAAATATAAGACCCACAAACCTCACAACGAAACAGAAGTTCTGTCCAAAATTAGTAGTTTAAAAAAATTTGATAATCTACTTTTGCATCCTCTTATCGTAGCATTTTTGTTAATGAAGTGGAAAGGTACGATCACGTACGAGATTTTTTATTGGTGTCGTTTAGTTTTTTGGGTTATTAATTCAATATTGTTTATGGTTTACTTCAAGCATAATACATATGACTTACCATATTATTTATGTTTGACTACGCACATTATTTATCTTATATATGCAGTTGTTGAAACGATAATAACGAAAGACTTTTCTCTAAGCACATGTGTACGTAATATTATTTTGATTTTAATGTTGATTTTAATATCCATTTCACTATTTCTTGCAAACACATGGTTCAAACTGTTAGCATGTTTAACTATAGTCTTGTCGTGCTTTGAAATACTTCTGCTTTTTAGTGTGCGCTCTATATATGGAGAAATGGTTAAAGTGGTATTTATTAACATGGTGAAACTACTATTTTGGTATTTTTTGATATTATTGCTACCCCTTATACTTATTTACAATATAATTTTTGATTGTTTCGTAACAAAAAAATGGCCGAAATCGATCGTAAATGTTTTTTCACTTCTTATTGGCAACACAGACTCTGACTCTTTGTCTGATTCACCAACAGATGCACTCATCTACCTACTTTTAATCATTATACTATCAATATCACTTTCTAATGTAATTAATGGAAAAGCTGTAAATGACATACAGAATTTGGAACAACAATCAGATGTTCTTCGTCAAAAAGCAAAAATTCAATTTATATATCGTACTGACAAGGTTGTAAATTTTATAACAAGAAAAAAAAATACCAACGGTACACCAAGTTTGGCGTCAGGACTCATCAATTCTAGTATAATCTCAGGCCACACAAATTATAGGGGCAATAACGGAAACAAGATTATATCGTTTGACGAGCAAATTATCGAATGCCTTAACCTTTATTTTGATAAAAAGGACAACTCAATTGTTGTTTATTCCGGATATTTGGAAAATTGATGTTGTAAAAGATAACAACGACAAATCATTAATTTAATAATTCCTCATATTATACTTCGTTAATTTAACAATTATTATCATAATTCTTAGTTTTTTATTATTTTTAATTAACATCGTTCGCTTATTGTTATTGGCTACTTTGTAAAAGTTATCACTTTAATTTCACTTTAAGTGTGTAGCGTTATGCCTCCACCTGGTATATTTTCTTTTGTATTTTCATTTTCTGTAATTGGGTGCTTACTCGTTGGGAATAAATGCATTATTCTTATTATTAATAATATTATTATATGTATATCCCTATTATTGAGACAATTTTATTTCATAGTTCATTTAAAAATAATATTATAATTTTAAACAAAATTGTGCAAAATAAACGACATCTTCAAGTAACTACCTCTTAGCTATTAGTAATTGTTGTGAGGTTTTTGTAATCAAGTCTTATTGATAATAAACATCTTGATTGTGAATTTTCGTTCTATGTTATTGCTTTTTTCGCCTTTTCATAGATGATGGTATAAACATTGTTATGTTATGATAATTAAAATATTCTTATCCTCTTAAATTTTTAACTTACATGAGAAAGTTATTGGAATTTAAAAAACACATAATTTTTTTTACAGGATACAATAGTTTTTAACATTATCACAACCACATGGAGAAAGAGCTTAAGAAACTTCGCCAAATGAAAACTTTACTATCAAAGTTTTTAAACATTTTTAAATCTACAAATATCTTACGAAGAGGAGTAAAATAATGTAGCAAAGTGGCGACATGGAGTGCACTCGACAGCAGATACCTCTAGAAAGATTTTGCCACTTAGGTTGCTCAAAAAGAATAAGTCCGTTTCTAGGAAAACCAGACAATTCAGACTATAACTCAGAGAAAAATTAAATCCTGTGTTCGTCGCTCTGTCTCTCCTTAAAAAATTTAATACAGAAATTCTAGACTTATTAAATACAATTGGTTTCAGAAATGCGAGCAGTGGCCCTAGTCCTATATAGACCCAGAGACCAGACATGTGCGTAATTGAAAACATTTTTTTATGAAGTTATCACTTTGAATAAACCAGGAATTAATATAACGCTTGACTCTTTCGTCGAGAAAATCACAAAGGCAAACCCGGCGCTGATCCAAAGTTGTACTTGAAATAAGTAGTCGAGAAAACTTTGGAAATTTATTCTTACATTCTATTATTTTATTAATCTTTATTTATGCATTTTTGTTACGTTGTGTATGTGTTTTTTGAAGACACAGGGCAGCTCAGATTCGTTCATTTTGAAAATTGTTGTTTATCTACAAGAATTCTCTGTCAACACATATTTGTATGCTCATAATTTATTGTACGAAACATTTAAAAAAATCGTGCTTTTTGAGTTGTGGTCTTTAGATGATTCGTCTAGAGAGATTTTAACACTTTTAGTTATGGATGTGAAACTTAAAAACAGTCAAACATTTAAATTTATTTTTCGGCAGCACAAAAAAAAGGATACGGGTGAAAACAAACCAAAATAAAAATAAAAGATAATAACGGTTACGAATATGAAACACTGTTTGACAATCCCTTCCTGGTGTGTTTCTATTTTATACATAAAATTTTGCTCACCGACAATTTTGGAAATTTTATATCATAATTATTCATTTACAAATAATATTACAACTTCAAAGAAAATTGTCCAAAATAGACAACAAGTTCTAGAATTTGCTTTAGCCCCCTAACGACTATCAACAAAAATTCTCTAAAAATATGTTCAAAACACATATGAAACTACAGTCTTCGGAAAGTAATACGAAAGCTCCCCATGTTCGTCTTTTTCAAACAAAAAACGGAACGCTTACATTGGATATATTACACAAATATTACACAAAAAAATGTTCTTGGCGTACACGTTAATTTACAGATATGTGATGGTATGTCTTAACCTATTCGACTAGTTCTTCGGATGGACAGATTACGCTCATGTAACCGTTGATGTCTTCTGGTGTCAGCTGTCGGATGGCCACTGTTGCAGAATTATTGAAAGCTCCACTCGAAACCAAACGGATAGTTGTAGTTTCGCAAGCGTTGATCTCGACGTGTTTTCCTAAAATCAACGATCAATAATAATTAGATCAAAAAATTCAATTTGTTTAGTTAATTCTTGCTGATTAGTGAAGTTTGTCTGTTATTTCGTATTTTATCTATATCTAGATCCACGTATTTATCTACCGCGGGTGGCAGTTATCCCCGCCCAATATTCATTTCCTGCGCCTATTTCCCCCCTGTTCGCTATCTAACAAAAGCTCCAGGTTAATGCTTACGTTAGGGCGGTTTATTGGTCTATTTTGGTCGTACACCGGGCGATACAATAAATTTAATTAAGAAGATGCTTTATCTAACTAACCTGGTTTGGAATCCAGTCCGCAAACAGAATCTGCGAGAAGATTGGCATTGTCCAAGCCGCGAGAGCCTCCAACTTGAAGAAAGTCGCCCAAACCACGTTTTTGACACTGTAATGGAAGCTCAAATGACATTAAATAAATCGGATTTATTTTTTCTTAAAAAAAAAGAAGAGTCTGAATTAAATCATAACTTAACAGTTGTTTTTCAAATAATCTCTGTTCCAACATGGCTTGCGCCAAAGTGTCCCTGCGCCAAGTTGGCTTTGCGCCAAAATGTCTCGCGCCAAGTCGGCCGCGCCGAATTGTCCTAGACCGTCACAATTTTCCTTATTTATATGTAAACAACTGCTCCCTGATTAAGCTATTTATTCTGACATGCAATACCTGCGACCGCACCTTATGGGTGGTGCCTGTTTCGAGTTCAATTCCACGTCCTAGACTTGGGACAACTCCAATATTCAAAGAAGCCACCCTTACTGCTGCCGGAAACAGGGTGCTGACCCTACAGTTTGATCTTTTTCCGTAATTTCGCAAAGTATAAATATCTTCGGTGGATTGAAATAGAACTTTGCAGGCTATAAATATAAAAATATATATTTGTACAGCAAAGGGAAAAGTCAGGAAAATATAGATCATAATTCGTAAATAACCCACACCGGCCGGCTACAGACACGATTTTATACAAAATTAATTGGAAAAAACGTCGGTCGGGGTATGAAAGTTGGTAATTGCGAAACCCTAAGTCTTACTAGGAAAAATTCACATTTTGGTACGTGTAATGTCAGGTCTGATGAGGAATTAAGCGGCGGTAAATTTTTCGGTTTTGTGGAAGCGTTTAGCTTGGAAATTTCGGGAGCTGGTATTATCGGATTAAAGATTTAAAGCTGAATAAAACAGGTATTTGTTTAAAGTTTCGTGTCTTGAAAACTGTTGTTACAAGAAATTTCAGAATACAGAAATACATTAAATATTTTATTTGATCGTGAAACGAATTTTGGTTGTGTAATTACTAAACGGAACATATTTTAATTAAAAAATAATTTTGTGGCTACAAAATTTTTATTATTTAGAGGAAATGAAGAACCTCCTACTGTCAGACTGGTGGGAAATTCGGTACAAGTTCAAACCTTCTGTTTGCCATCCGTGTACATATTTACATATTACATTTTGGCAAATTGGGATCAAGTAGCGACGTTAGATTAGATAGGAAAGTTCAAATAAAATAGATTTCACTTTCCAACCACATCATTACGTATTACGTTAATAATTAATTATTTCAACATTTTCCACTTGTTTATCACAGGTTTTTTGTATTTTTTTTGTAAAAAAAATTTTCATAGTTACTTTGTAAACTCAAGAGTAACAGGAGCATATATCGTCCGGACCTCTATTAACAAAGTTTATTCGAAACTACTGTTTTGCAGACCTTAGATCTGCATAATAAATTTTGTAGCCTAGGGTTTTCATCGACTTTGAACCAGTTTGTTTTATCGTTTTTCTTCCAAAGTACAAGCTGACATTTCTGTTTGTCGTTCGTCTGTCTGTCAAAATTTGTTGCGCCATCTTCTCCAAAAATGACGTCATCGCAAACTATTTTTAAATAAATCTCATTCTAAGTTATAGTTACTTTTTTACTTATTTTACAAAGATACAGAACGTTGATTTATTCATTCGGTTTCTCTAGAAGGCGAATACGTCGTCAAAAAAATTAACCAAAACTATACAGCAAAATTTACCAGGTATGGGTCAATATAAACACGTGGATTTTTTAATTAACAAAAAAATAAATAATAAAAAATTTCGAAATATAAATACAATGTTGTTTGCGCCTTGATAATATATTTTCTTAGAATAACTTCAGCCATATGTCATGTTTCAAGGATATGTTCGTCTGACTAAATCAACAACGGCTATCTGCACACTATTGCGGAAATTATCAGTTATGGTATCAATATATTTGCAATACCTATATTTGTCTCCATTAAAAAAATGGTGGCGTTATATATGAGAAATATTAAAAGAGGATTGATTCGTTTGCAAATGTTTTTTGTTTTTATTTTTTAAACTTAATATGTGTATTAGGAATGTCGTATAGATGGTAAAACGCTAACTAAAATGTGGCTAATCATCCTCATCAACAATAGGATGACGCCATCTCCCAAATTTACTTTAACATATATTTAAATTCTAATTTTAAAATTGAAAAAACCGAATGTTATGAAATCAAATTTTTTAAGATTATTGGAAGCATGTAAATTATTAATGAATATGGGGTGTTATTTACGTCACTGGTTTTTACTTTACGGGTTATCAGAAAACGAAAAGCGTAAAATCAGATTTATAATTTTTTAAAGAAACGGGATTTGTCGCACCATACTTCAAAAGTGCAGGAAGTGACAAAATTTGAAATATCCTTTTCCATTTTTAATTAACATTTCCATAAATTGATAGATGCGTTATTGAAAAAACCCCTCGCCCCTGAAGTATAGCCCAAGAAACACCGTTTTTTCTGGAAAATTCTAAAAGAAAATTTTTGGAATACAATACTATTATTTTTAGTACATATTACACTGCACCAATGTTGATATCCACGTCCTAGTAAAAATATTGATGACGTCATCACAAAATTGTGTAAAGAAACATCTCAACTCGGTAATGCTGGATATGTTTCATTGTACTTCAGCAGCGAGGGAAGTTCTTTCGAAACAACTTTTGACCAATTTTTTTCAGATTCTTGTAGAGCTTACTTTCCTGAATTCTTTAGTCACCCATACCCCACCACTATCTGCTTCAAGTGTATTATATTACGCAACAACACTTGTTTATATTTAGTCTGCAGTGACCAAGAAAGGAAACAGATTAACAATTGATCCAAAATAAATGCGCTGATAAAGGAGAATATATGCCTATGTTAGTGGCTTTTCTCGTTTGAGAATTTTTCAATCAATATTATTTCAGCAAGGACACTTCTGTCAATTCCGACACGTACAGTATATTACTAATAATGAAACACTGAGGTGTACCGTTCTTGAGATTTGATCAATAAAAAATATAATAGATAATAGCAATAAAAAAAAATCACTGTTTC